GTACGTAGTAGTGATAGCAGCAGCAGTGGTAGTAGTAGTAGTAGTAGCAGTAGGAGTAGTAGTAGTAGTAGTAGTGGTGGTAGTGGTAGTGGTAGTGTTAGTAGTGGTAGTAGAGTAGTAGTAGTAGTAGTAGTAGTAGTAGTAGTAGTCGTAGTCGTGGTGGTGGTGGTGGTGGTGGCGGTGGTCGTGGTAGTGGTAGTGGTAGTCGTAGTAGTAGTCGTCGTCGTCGTCGTGGTAGTGGTAGTGGTAGTGGTGGTGGTAGTGGTAGTGGTAGTGGTAGTAGTCGTAGTCGTAGTCGTAGTCGTCGTAGTAGTAGTAGTAGTAGTAGTAGCAGTCGTAGTAGCAGTAGTGGTAGTAGTAGTAGTAGTAGTGGTAGTGGTAGTAGCGGTAGTAGTAGTAGTAGTAGTAGTAGTAGTAGTAGTAGTAGTAGTGGTAGTGGTAGTGGTAGTGGTGGTAGTCGTAGTAGTAGTGGTAGTGGTAGTGGTAGTAGTCGTCGTCGCCGTCGTCGTCGTAGTAGTCGTCGTAGTAGTAGTAGTCGTCGTAGTGGTAGTAGTGGTAGTGTCTGGTGCACCCCCATAAAAAATAACGAAACTACACACAAAGGCATCTTGGAAGTGGAGGTGGGTTGAGGCCATTCGGCCTGCCAGTCAGAAACAAACCCTGTAGTGTAGCGGCGTAGCGATATGCATAATAACTAAAGCGAACTCACTCTGCCAACTGTATGAAAAACAATCCCCAGCCGCTGCAGGGTAGAACTTGGGGAAACTTGTCTTGGACACCCGCCATATCCCGCCATCATACTCAAAGACTTGTGAAGGAGGTGCTGCGGTAAATGTCATGTCAGTGCCACAGCATCTACCCCCACATCTCAATGAGTTTCCCACTGCACACCAATTCTCGTCCCGATTAGGCTGGGTCACCCAGACTGCCCAAACTTCGTAGCTAACTGTTAGTGGTTCAAGAACGATATGCCATGGGGAGCTGGAAACCCACTTTAACCACTCCAGTCACCTTGCAAAGCTTCCCTTTTGATCCTTTAAGAGAATTGGAGGGTCTCCTTGGCGGCCTGCAAAGAAAATTGAAACCACTTCAAAAAACCATTATTCAAGGGCAGTTAGCCCCAATCCATATGAAAACGCCGGGGCCTCATGGGGCCTCCAACCGATCGATCTTCCTCTGCTTCTGGTTGAGTTCAAACAGAGCAACTGTTTAGAACGCTCTCCAATGTGAGACTTGTTCTTTGTGTGTATGTGTGTGGCAGCAATAGGTTCGACTGGCGGCTCCAGGCTCCAGCAACTCGATCCCGACTGAGCTTGCGGACATCAAAGAGTGGCACTTGCTCCAAGTTCTCAGTCCACCTGCGTCCGACCGGGCAAAGGCCCCGTGAACTGGCCCGAGGAACACAACTCTCCTCCAGGATTGTGCAAATCACTTTGGGGATCTTTGGGATATTCAAACATATTCATATCATTTTGGGGGCAGCGCTCCACACCAACAATCAAAAATCATTTCGATAGGTACTCTCGCATTGATCTAGAACATCGCCCACACAGGCCACCTCCGACTCCCACCCTTGTACATCCCGTGCTTCAGCATGCTTCAGCCAGGTCACAAACGGTGGCTCCTCAAGCCATCTTCGCCCAGGTCCAGAAAACAAGCAAGCACCTCGTGAACGAGCCAGTGAGCGGCTCGCCGCATGACGAGCACACGTCTCTTGCCGGAGGTTCATCAAGTCATTGACCCTCCTCCCTCTCAAAGGACTCCAAAGATAGCACAGTCAAATCATCAGCTTCAGTCGTTTTGTTTTTGGTGCACATGAAATCAGGTGGCCAGTGGTTCGTTCGTTCGTTTGGAATTAAGGGCTGCGTGGCAGCGGGTTGGAAGGGTGAAGGCCTCAAACGAGCCCAGCCATCCATGCGGCATTTGAACGCTTCTTTGACCCGCGGCATACCCCCGCCTCAGGGTCCTCCATCTTCCTCACCTCTTCGCCTGACCATCGAGTTTGTATAACGTGACAACGAGGGTTTCAATCCCTACAGGTCAACGATCTCATTGTATCTGAGTCGGAGTTGGTCATACAAATATATTCAAGCCAGCAAACGACCTGGTTCTACTGGGTCTTGGATGATCTTTCGACTTGTAGTGAATATGTGTAAATCCTGCATTGATCTGAATGGGCTTTTCGTGCGCCTCCATGGCCCCATGTGCCCCAATGAAATCAGCTGAAGTGGCTTCAAGCAGGTAGCAAGGATGAGTTCGTATAGCCTCCAGTTGCAGCCTCAACATATTGCCTTGCAAGGGCCGACATTCAACGTCAGGCAGTCCCGCCTTCCACCGCGGAGCTGACGCCATAGGCGGGCAATTGAGCCTGGTAGGGGTATCAAACATATCCGGCTCTTGGTATAGCCTGGGATTCTTGAAGAAACCAGGGCATTTTCATGCCCAGTCCTGGAGCACAGGCTCTGGGTGCTAGGCCCCCCTAGGCAACCGGACACCGCGTGGAGCCTCAGACAAATCCCAAGCGCACCTGGGAGTTCAACCCTCCCAGCTGCGCCTCCGGAGGTGGATGATGTGAACCTACGTGATCGGCCGCCGGCGACGACGGGCGACGCGAGACGTGTGAAGCAACAGAATTGCCTTCTCGAACATGACATGCGCACTTTTGGTCAAAAGGCCAGACCCAACGCCAAGAACCGCGGGCACAATTTAGCTGTACATGGCCAGCGACCAGGGGCTTTGCCCCTCGCAAGGCAGAAAAATGGGGCAGAAAGGCATGCTGCCTTCGCCGAAGGGCTTCCGGAGAGAACTCGCTCTGCTGCTATCTGTCTGTCTGCCTATCTAGTTGGAATCTGTACTATCTATTGATGTCTGCATGCTGCATGCATATATAGTATCGTAAGTACCCTAATATACAGTATGTACTCTAATTATTCTACTTTTATTCTATCACCATCTATCGTGTTCTTCTCTTTGCAATTCGGCTACATGATATTCCACCCTTATCGGATGCTCAGAAACCCATGTGCTCAACTGCTGGCATCACTTCCGTGTAGACCTCAAGGCGAACTGGTCTGGGTCGCCCAGTTTGGGTCACAAAGAATCACCCACGCCGAGACCTGATTGGGGGTTGAAGCATGTTGAAACCGTGGACCATCGTGGACCAGTTTCAGCTGTTGCTGATCATGTTTTATCTCTCCAGGATTCTTCAACCATCCATATCAGTCTTCGCCCCTCACATGAAACTTGTTCAACACGTGTTCGCTCCAGCCGTCCTTGCTTCTACCGGTGGATGGAAAAGCTGCTGGTTCCGACATCTGTTAAACTTGGGCAGCGTGCTCTAGCCAGGGGCAGGTGTCACATCCTATAAACAAGAAACAAGCCACTAGGGGCAAACATGGGCACAACACATAGGAAGAGTAACCCAATTCACTTTGTGCACTGTCTGCAACTTATTGCAGCATCACTGAGTTGCAAACACGCAGTTTTTGCCCTTCCTCCTCGAACTCCTCGGCATATCGATATGCCACCTGCCACGCGTTTCGGTCCCACTCGCAGCTCTCACCTTCCAAAGGACAAACTGCTGGGATTGGCCAATGAAAACTGTGCACTTTCTTACCTTGTGAATCGAACTCCCACATGCCTTTAAACTATGAATGGGATATGGTCATGCAGGTGGTATAGAAACGCATGCCCAAAAGATCCCAAAAGCCCAAGACATAAATACATGGTAGATCAGGGCGAATCCACCTGAATCTTATGGAATTCCATCAACCCTTGAGTCCAAACACTCGAGTAGGACACTCCGAAAATGAATTCAAGCGGTCCCAGCTTCGCGCGCCTGGCGCGCTTCGCTGAGGGCACATCGCAGCAGCGGGAAGTGGCCTTCGTCCTCCTCTCGGACCTGAGTGACGGTCAGTCCTGTGGGTGAAGGTCAGTGGACCTTAGGAGCAAGGGAACCGTTTGACTCACATGTTTCCAAGGACCAACAACGATCCAAAAAGAAAACACAGGTTCACACCAGCGTCACACCAGGTTCACCTGATCCTCTAGGAACACCAAAGGCATTGACACCAATTGAAACCTGGTCCTTGGATGTCCTTGGGCATCAACATGCATCCTCAAAACTGTAGTGTTCAGAGTTTCGCTGCAACAGGGAGAAATCCTCGACCCACGGGTTTGAGACGTCAATGGTCTGCATGGAGACATTGTTTTGGGAAACGACCCGGAACTCGTCGGCTCTTTCCCAAACAATCCATGGAACTGCAAGAGTGACCTCCATTGGGTCAATGGAAGTACAGTAGCTATACCATACCCAGACCATCCATGCAAAGAATAGGCTAGAATAGGAACTTACTTAGACTTAGACAACATGTTGGGTCAATGTAAGTAAGCTGTATATAAGTATTCCATAGTATTCCAATCCCGTGGATGGTCTGGGTTTGGAAGGATGATCAGCTCCGGGTGGCAAATCGCACGAACTGCCACCGCTGGTCCTCAGCTGGATGGTCGCTCGGGCTTGGCACCGGCGTTCGGGGACCGTTCGCTTCTCGGCAGGTGATGAAGCCAAACCGGGCCCTGCTATTTGCTTGATGTTGTCCTTTTCCTCTCGGAAATGCAAGTCAAAACTAATTCATTGTTGATGGTGTTTGTCTTGTACAGCCCACCCACTTGAACCAAAATCCCTTTTAGCATCTTTAGGGAAACGACACCAACACGGGTGGTCAAATATCCCAAGCCTTCCAAGAGGCCATTTTCCACTTCCATTTGACTCAGCGTGTAATTAGTCTTCTTTACTCAAACTCACTCACTGGCCACGGCCAGTGTTGAATCAAGCTGGCCAGGCTCTCTTGATTTGTCCGAGACAAAGAATGACTCGTCCTGAAAACAGTGCCTGGGCTTGAAGGCATGGATGTTCGAGCCACAGCCAGTGGCAGGTTCAAGTCATTTGATCCACCTTTTCATTCTTTTCATCTTTGATCTTTCCAAGTCTCACTCAGCAACAAGGTCGTTGGTGTGATCCGACCTCATGATGGCAAGCGCTGCCGGAAACTGGTGGAAGAATTCAAAACTCAATGCACGATTTCGTGCACGAACTGAACACTACTGATCACATGTGCTGTGGAAAAGACGGCCCCCTTTCAGAGCCGACCTCCCTTTCCATGCGGTCCCATGACTTCCTTCCATGGATTCTCCATATCAAGACAGCCCTCCTCACCCTGGCCGACGGACGTACTCCTTCGCTGCCGACCGATGCCGGGCGTCCGAACCGATGCCGCCGGCCGAGTCACTGCTGACCTTGGAGCGCCAGGAGCGCCAGGAGTTCCTATTGAGCTCTTTCGATTTCGGAGGTCCTTTCAGAGCAACTCAATCGCCAAAATGTGTCCTATATGGTCTATATATATATATATGTCTATATTGTGCTTTATCACTCTTAGCAAACACAAGCTCAGTGTAAGTCCAACCTCTTCTGCCTTACGATCCAAGAAGCCGTCTTTGACTTCCCATGTTTCGAGGGGGTTAACAGTTCAACCTATTATTTGGGAGTCAATCTATGCCATGTCTCCCCCTCGGTGTAGGACATCCAAGGGCGGCTGAATCTTCACCACCCACACGCCCGGCCGAGGGAAGGTTGCCTATGCAGGTCAGTGAGCCAGGCACCGACGGTAGCTTGTGATGGTTTAGAGTGTCAGGATGTCATGCCAGAATCAAGTGCTAGTGTTTAATACATGTATCCAGAGTCATGTATTATGCATAATGTATGGCCGGATTTCTTCTCGGGATGATAGAACGTGATCGAAAATGGACAGCATCCGCAAAACGAGCTATAAAACTACTCAATCAATCTCAATCAGGACAATCTTTCTACAGTAGTTGTTGTTGGATCGCACCCTCATGTGCCATCCGAAGTTTGCAGCATGGTCAAAAATGGTCCAACCCTACTTGCTCCCATCAGCTCAAGAAACCGATGCTTTCTGGCCCAACATCCCTTCGTCCGGCCTCCTCCTCTCGTCCTGCCAAGGCCTGGCTGCTGGAGGGTCGCCCATCGCGGTAGACGAGTCCTGTGGTGCAAGCGACCGCTTTTGACGTTGGCAATTGTTGGAACAACAGAAGTGCAAAGCCCCTCACAGTTGAAAGCAAACAGGATTGCTTCAGTTTGTATTTGGTGCTGGGGGAGGCTCAAACACAAAGGTGATCAATGTTGATCATGAAGAATGGATGCAACTAATTTCACCTGGAACCAATTCTAGGAGTGGAACCAAAACTTCTCAAGGAACCCAGCCCAACTCGAGGCATCTGCATCTTATGTCCCCCAAAAGTGTTGTGCTGGACAATAGATGGGCTCAAGCAATTCTTGTAGCAGACCGTCGCACAACAGGTCTGCAAAGCAAAGCGGTTTTCCGGCGAAGGCTAGTCGCGTAGTCTAAATGGCTTTAGGCCTTTGAGAGAAAAAGTGACCGGCGAAAATGAAGTCACTCTCAAGGCTCAAACGGATTCCATGTCAAATGCTCACTTTCACAGCTGCTCTATCTTCTTGTTGGCATGAGTATCCGTAAAAATGGATATCAACACTCGAGCTGGAGTTGAAAGGAGCGCTTGACGGTTGGTCAATGACCTCATCTTGACATGATCCTCTAGGATCCGCCAATGGGAGATTCCGGTGTCCAAATCAAATCGAGCATACGTCGTCCGGATGGGGTACTTTTCAATCTCATATCTCCCGATGGGGCTCCTATAGGACCTAGCATGGTGAGCTACATGGGTCACAATGTCACCCTTGTGGTGCCAACCGGGGCTCTCAGCAAGCTGTTGGAGGAAGACGAAAACTGGCAAAGCCTCATTCAGCGGCTCTCCGTCCAAGGCTGCAGAGGAGGAGCTCAAAGCAAGTTGCTTCCTGCTAGGCTTTCCTTGCTTCACGTAAGCTTGGTTGAACGTGTAGCACCATCGACCAGAAGCTAGGATGCGGTGAAGGTAGGACTCATCCATGTCCTTTGTCCCACAATCCACAAACATATTGCTTGTGCTGGTCCACTTCAACGAAGTGCAGGCCCGAGCCAATGTGGCGCGGATCCAACCAATGGTGAAGCCAAGGGACTTCTGGGCTCCATACGTGGCAGTGTCACTGTTCCCCTTGTCAAAGAGGTCTTTCGCGTCAGTGATCTGCACGAAAGGAACAGCCTCCAGGATCTCATCCTGCATCCTCTCTTGGACTGGGAAGCCCTTGAAGATGGCCAGCAGGCCACGGCAGAACATGCCAGCATCCATGCCCTCTTCCGCTCCTAAGAGCTCAGCTGCAAACGTCGAGCGGCAAACACGGCTCAGGCGGTGACTCCTAGAGTCAAGAACACAAAAGCTCCCTTCTCTTCCAGCCAACAGGTCGCTGTCAGCGACCAGGACATAGTAGCAACTCTGGGAGTAGATCTTCTCCAGGATGTTGCCAGAATCACCACCATCCTTGTTGGTGTTTCCCAAGGAAGAGTCGGTCACCACCATTATGCCACATTGCTCCAACTTCAAAGGTCGAAACCTCAACTCAAACTGTGAGTGCTTCTTGAAGCGCTTGAGCAATGCATTGGCACGCATGAGTGTCTGCACTGTAGGCTTCTCACCCTGCAACACGCTCAGGTGATATGCCAAATCAAACCTCAGCTGTGCCACCAGCCACTGCAAAGATCCCAGGATTGCCCTGAGCTGTCGACGCTCGCTGTCATTGAGCTCTGCCGAAGTCTGAGCACGTCGGTGCACTGCTATGGAGACAGGCTGTAGGTTGCTGTGGTACTCAATCATGGAGATAGAGATGGAACCATCATCATGCTGCCGAATGCGCTTCCCGCAGTAGGTGAAGTCATCATACTCCACACTTCCAAAACCAAGGATCTGCCCAAGGTCCTGCAGCAAAGCTTGTGCACGGCTTCCGCCTCCAAGCAACAAATCATCCACATGGGAGATGATCACTCCCTCCAAGGTGGATTTGTCCTCAGACCACAGCAGCCAGCAGGCATAGTCCATGGGAGAGCGTTCCCAACCTTGCTCCAGCAATGCCCGGTTGAGTCGAAGATACCACTGGCGTGGTGCATCGGAGAGGCCAAACACACCCTTCCGAATCTTTGCCAATGCGCGACCAAAAGGCAATCCAGGTGCATCCGAAGTTTCGCTGTCCTTCATGTTCTCCATGTAGAGCTCACGATCACCTGCCATGTAGGGGTCGCCCTTCAAGAATGCGCTTTTCACATCAGCGCTCACCAAACGCCATGCATCTTTCTCACCCTTCACAAACTTGTTGTTGCTAGCAGTCCAAATCAAAAGCATGTGCTGACTCAAACGAGAACCAGTGGGGGCATCCTTGCGAATTGCAAATGAAAGCACATCTCTGAACCCTGGAACCACCACCCTTGCTCGAGCTTTGAGAGGCAAAGGTCGGTCAGCTGTGCGGAGACCACTGTGCTTGTCCGTGAAAACAAAGCGCGGGGTCAAAATCTTGCCCACCTCCTTGTTCAAGCGGAGCCGCTTGCGAATCGCTTCTGACTCAGCCATGGGGAGCACTTCAATGGCTTGGTTGTCTTCCCAAACCTTCCAGGCATCTTTGGCTGCCTCACGAAAGGCGATCTTCTCCTCCGGGCTCATGTTCCTCCAGAACAGCTCTTTATGCGCAGCACTGGCCAAGAGGGCCTCAGCATCATGCGAGCCAGTAGGCCAGCTCCATCCAAGCTTTTGGTGAAGTTGCCATTCGGAGCGAGAAGGCAAATCCCATCGTCCTCCCCAGCTTCCATGGTCCTTGACCTTTGCATCCAAAGGCTGCTGCTTATCGATGTCAGCCAAGCTTGCGATCACTCGCAAAGGATGCTCCTTGCCATGCTGGAGCTGTTTCATCAACTCATCCTCACCCTTCTCACAAGCCACCACCAGCGACTCGTTGACACCAGAAGGTGCTGAAGGTGAAGAGCGAGCACCATCAAAGGCGGATTGTTCAGCCAATGCTTCCACATCGACTTCAGCTGGTCGCTTCATTCCACCACTTTCCTCAGCCAGGTCTCTGGCTTGGGCAATCTGTCTTGCCAGGAGGCTGCCAGCGGTTCCAGCACGTCGAATGAGCTCAGGCACGGGTGAGCCAGGTGCAGGTCCCATGCCTGTCACATCACTGATCCTCCTTGATGGAAGTGCAGAGGATCCAACCATAGAGGGAATAGGAGCTGCTTGCTGCGCCACTTGAACCAACTCTTCAGGTCTCACTGGAGGCAAATCAGCTCCCGGAACTCCACGTTGTTGAACCGGAGGTTGCAGTGCAGGGGTCATCGGCATCGCTGTCTCCTCTGGTTCTTCTGGTAGAGCAACAGGTGGAGCAGCTGGAAGACCTCGCAAAGTCAAATCATGCTGCGCTGCCTCAACCACTTCTTCAATGGCGTCTCGCCAACTGCCAGCAGCAATCTGCTCGAGCCCACTTGCCACTCTGACATGCTCCATGGCTGCCTTGGTCAACTGACCTTTGTAGCTCAAGAACGCTGAAGCGTGTCCTTCAGTAGCCACCAACAATGCAGGGCCATGCCATCTCTTCAAAGTCAACCTCTTTCGACTTGGGCTGGTCTTGTTGTTGAACCTCAGGGGCCGATAGAAGTAGCAGATTGTGCCAGGTGTTGGAACTTGCTCCATGGTGGTGCTTCGACTTCTGGCCAATTCAGCACGGCGTAGTCCCTTGCTGTAGTGGAGTCGCATCATCGCAACCTTGGCCGTCTCTCGCAAAGCCACCAACCTTGCATGTGAAGTTCTCCCTTCTATGAGCGAATGCTCAGCCAGCCGAGACTCAATGCTGCCCAAGGTGTCACCAACCATCCTCGGCTGTCGTCCAAATGTCGCCTGGTAGGGAGAGAAGCCACTGTCATTCACATCTTGATTGTAGGCGGCCACCGCCTCACTCAGGGCACGTTGAAGCTCCTCAGCACCAATCACAGAGTGTGCTCGAATGACAGCTGTCAGGATCGCTTTGAGCGTGCTGCCTGATCTCTCTGCCACGCCGTTTTGCCATGGGGCTTGCACTGCAATGTGATGCAGCATTGTGGACACTGAACTTGCCCACTCCTCCATTTCCCAACTCACGAACTCTCTGCCCTGATCTGCCACCAGTACTCGGGGAGCACCAAACATAGCCAGCCATCTTGAAATCAAGAACTGAATCACTGACTTGGAGGACTTGTCCGGCAAAACCTCAGCAACCTGAAAACGTGTTGCAAAGTCCGTGGCATGGGCAACATAGAAACGTGTTTCTGCAGCATCTTCTATCTCCAGCAGGTCTACGTGAACCTGATCTGAAATGTCCTTTGGAGTCAGCAGTGATGCTGGTCTCCTGACTTTCGGAGGTGCACGTTCTTGGCAAAGAGAGCACTTGTGAGCTTTGGCAGCAGCTATAGCTTCCACAGGAGCACCTGCAACTGCAAGAGCTCGCGCCAAGCGACGATTGCTCCTGTGGCCAGTATTCTCATGTAGGCGCTTGATGGCATTCTTCAAGGAAGGACTGATCTTGAGGTCAGTCTGAGGGGAATCGCCAACTTCTTCATCAGAAATCTCTTCAGCGCCCAACGCAAGTAGGCCATCACCAAAGTCCTCCTCCGCTTCTCCCGTCTGAGCTGCCAGGGCCTCCTTAGGCCGGAAGTCCAAATCGAACTGCTCCATGATCCCCTTCACCAAGGCGCGTGCCAGCGGCTTCGGGTAGATGCCCGCATGAGCTGTAATCTTGGAGCCTCCCAGGACAGGTTGATGGCTGTGGTCACGCTTGCAACGAAGGCCATCCAACAAAGCAATCACCCTGGGGCTTGAACTCACCAGCTGTGTGGATTTTCTATGCAAGTCACCAGAAAGGCTGCGAAGGTTGAACCGGCATTGGTCAAACACTGCTATCTCCACATTGTGCTCCTCGATGAACTTCTGCATGGGGAGTGTCTTCCATGCTAAACTCGGGAGCGGGTTCTCCATAATGAAGTGTCGACCACCTTTCATCTGCAGCTTTGCGACTTCAATCGCAAACTCCATCAGGACCAAACCATCAGCTTGACGTTGATCCAAGGAAGTCAATCCTCGAGTGTTGAGGTACTGTAGTGGACTGAAAGGCCCACATGGAAAAGCAAGCACCACGCAGTAAGGCTTCTCCTCCTCCAAAACCTTCATTGCCCGGCTTCGGTGCTCAGCCAAAAGGAAGTTCCATCCATTGTCCAACGACATAGCCGGACCCACCTTGTGGCCTCTTCGTTCAGCCTCTCGCATGACATTCTGCGAAGTGGTGTAGACCTCAGACACAAGGGACCGCTCCTTGTCAGGGGGCTTGACATTCTTGGAAATCAAGACATTCTTGGGCTGGCTCTCATTCTGAAGGGCCTCAAAACCGGCAAGAACCTTGTCATCCGGAAGACACAATTCAAACGGTTGGAAGAAGGTCTCTTCGGTCATGAAGTCCAACATCTCCTGTTCATGGTCAGCCACCAGCAACTCTTTCATCTGCCTTGGAGATTGTGACACTTTCTTTCGATCTTGTTCATGCTGACTCCAGGCTTGAGCGACCAGTTGAGCTTGACCAGGTTTCAGATCTTGGTGAAGTCTGAATTCATGAGGGCGGCTCACATCCCTGCTCCATCCCTGAGACCCAGACGGATCTCCTGCATCACTTCGGCCGGAATGTCGTCCCCGAACTGAGCTGTCAAATTGGCTCCGTACAGCTCCTCGTAGGCCTGACCATTCAATTCCCGAATCTCGGCCTCGGTGAAGTTCACGGGTGAGGCATCCTGTGGCGAGTCTGGGATCAGACTTGGCTCTGAGCTGAGATCCACCTCCATTTCCGGAGTCACTTGTGAGCGCAGCAATGCCAGCTCGCGAGACATCTGCTCCATCATAGCCCTCATCTCTTGCTGCTGAACTGCCAGGTTCTTGGGGTTGTCGTTGAGCAGCCTGGCGGGCGGTGAAGAAGAGCTCGCTGAAATCTCCTCGGCCGTGTTGGCCTTTGCTGGGCTTACCGCTGGCTTCTTGTTCTTGAGGATCTCGATCATAGGCTTCACCTTTTCTTTGATCTGAGCCACGGAGTCTTTCTCGCCCAGGTCCACATGAAGCAAAGCAGCCAACTTTACCAGATCGGCTCGAAGGGTAGGAAGACCTCCTCGAGGGCCAATGAGTGCCCGAGCCTCTTGTTCTCGACTTCCGTCGGCTTCTGCTTTCTTTGCCAGCTCCTTGGCTTCCTTCTGAGCAGCACTCCTCAGTTTGGCTGTTATGCCCTTTGTCGTCTGCGCTGCCATCATTCCTGCCAGGACGGGATCTTCGATGAACGATGTCCTGAGCCCCACCCGGTTGCGAAGGTGCCGACATTCTGCCAAGTTGCCCATGGTGAACAGGTTCTTCTCCAGGCAGTTCTTGAGATACCTTGGAGGGATGGTTCCATCTGAAACCTGCTTGCGCACCTGAGCCAACCAAGCTGCTGTCGTGGTAGTTGAGGGATAGGGCAATGGCAGATATCGCAAGTAGGGCCTTTGCAAAAGCCAAAGGAGCAATCCTTTTGCTGCCCAGCGAAACCTTTCTCCCATGCGGAGGAACATCCGCTTCCATCTTCCGACCTTCACGTCCATGTTGGCGCTCTCGCCTCCCAAGAGGTTGCCTGCAGTCATCCATCCGCCGAACATTGGAGGGTGAAGTAGTCAAGGAAGAGGAACTCGAATTTCGATCAGTCGTCCCTTCCGGCTTCATGGACGCACCTTGAGCTTGAACCGATGAGCCAAAAACATCAGGTGAGTGAAGAACAGCACAAACCAAATGGCCCACACGAACGCTCTGCTCTGTCAGAAGGTGGTCATGTGAACTGCTCTTCAAAGATGAACCAAAAGACAGTTTCTTTCGAAGCCATTGAACAGGACTCAACTGCAGTTCCAAAACACCATCAACTCCCAAACGCTTCCAACGCTGTGGCCCCACACCTGACCAGGTTGCTGGCACCAATGGCAGGAGGAAATGACCTGCAGCCAGCTGCTTCAAGGAAATCGGCTTGCCCGTGAGGTGTTCACATCGAAGGGTGCGATGGGCAAAATGCATGTCAGCTCCAATTGCTTCTAGAAAATCACGACCTAAAAGCAACCCCAATGAAGGAACCGGCACCAATGAAGTCCAAAAACAAATGATGGAGCCATCTAACTGCATGGGGAGCCGCCACCGTGCAACACTGACTTGGGTTCCACCGTTGCCAAACTTGAAGGTCTCATACTCCTTGTGGGATTTGACCAAACCACGAACTTCTTCGGGGGCATCTCTCAGGCAACGGAGGTAGTTGTTGAGCCACTCCGTCCCAGTGCACGTGCGGTTGCAAGCTGAATCAAGGGCTCCAACAAGCATTTTGTCGGCAGAGAGCTTGCCAGCAACATTCACCTCTTGTGGATGGAGGTGAGACTGTTCAAAAAGCTGCCACGAACTCATTCGTCATGGGGAAGGCTCCAACTGCCAAAACTTCATGGCCTCCATCCTCCATCACAGGCGGAGACACTTCGGTGTTCAAGGCCTCCGTGACCTTCACTTGCTTGACCGGCTTGTTCTTTCGACCAAGGCCTTGTCCAGGCTTTGTGCACTCAGGATCACCGGCCCAGTGGCCTGGCAAGTTGCAATCGAAGCAAGGATGCTTCGAAGACTGCTTCTTGGGGTTCATCTTGCCCTTTTGGTCAGCAGGCGAGGCACGGCCATAGCCACGATCCTTCTTCACTTCTTGGAGCTTGACCTTGGCCTCACGCATCGTGAGAAGAGCTTCTGCAGCAGTTTCAACTGACTCCTCAATCTGCTGCAAAGTGTCGCTGTCAAGGCCACATTCGGCTGCTTCCTCAAGGTCCTGCGCCAAGCCTTCAGCCTCCATCTGAAGCACCTCATCCAAAGTCGCCTGAGGTGGATCTCCACCGTCGGCCACAAGCTCATCTTCTTCCTCAGGGTCGATCTCGACCTCAGCTTCGGAAACCATAGCCTGCTTGGGGAGGCCACCAAAAGGTTTCTGGAACCTGTACGTGCTGGCTCTTGAAGTCGTGGTCGATGAAGAGGATCGCATGGATCTAGGTGCAGAGCTTGTCATCGATGGGGCGTAGGATGAAGCTCGGCTCGGACTTCCTTGTCCTTGTTGATGCTGGTTCAAAAAGCGCTTCAACAACGGGGGTCCACTTTCTCCTCCTCCGAAGGGCTTGCGGCTGAGAGGATCTTGAGCATGAAGGTCTTTGAACAATCGCAGCACCTCTCGTTCAATGCTCTCGTAATCCTCAACTCCATTCAAAGCCGTCTCGAGGAGCTGAGTCCGCAAGGCGTCCAATCCAAGCTTGGACTTGTAGAACCACCCAAGCTCTCCAGAAGGCAGCTGCACACCTTCGGTGCGGAGATCGGACACGAGTGTCCGGAAGCGCGTGCTGAACTCTGCTATGCGCTCTCCTGGTCGTCGGCGAAGCTCCAAGTGGAACTGGTTTCTCAGCTCTCCTCTCTTATCCAAGGTGGTCTTGCCATTGATCTCCTCGAGAGCCTTCATGAGCTTCTGAATGCCGGCCAGGGGATTGGCCGCAGTGATCACCACCTGCTCCTTCGTCTCGGGGTCTTCAGCTGTAACCGCTGGTTGGTGCTCAAGCTGCTGGGGTGTAAATTCTTCTCCTCTTTGACGTACCACCCCCGATTGCCGTAGCAACCATCGAGCTGCCAAGTTGTACTTGGTCGTAGAGGCCAAATCTAAGGCCGAGCACCACCAATCCATCTCCCGCTTGAATCCTCGCCATGTCTGAGGCGATCCGTCCCATGTTGGGACGCGAGCCCATGCGCCGCCATTCCCATCCTTCTCGTCCGACATGATGCCTTAGGCAAAGACAGGGACGAAATGGAGGTCAAGGATGTAGTGAGACTTCTTTCAAACACGGAGCGGCAAAAAGGTGAATTCGGACCACCAGCCGTGAAGGTTCCTCCTGCGCCTGCGGGAGTACAACAAAAAGCGGGGTCCAGGCAAGGTCACAACCTCGTCCACGGAGATCGATGTCAGGACACGGAAGCAAAATGCCCGACACAAACTCAGCGAAGAGCGTGGCCAAGAGGCTATGCAAAACCACGGAGTGCAAGCGCAGCAAGCAAGGGCGCGTGCCCAGCGAAAGCAGCTCACCAACCACCAAAGGTCGTAGATCGCCAGCTCCGGTGCCACTGTAGCAGACCGTCGCACAACAGGTCTGCAAAGCAAAGCGGTTTTCCGGCGAAGGCTAGTCGCGTAGTCTAAATGGCTTTAGGCCTTTGAGAGAAAAAGTGACCGGCGAAAATGAAGTCACTCTCAAGGCTCAAACGGATTCCATGTCAAATGCTCACTTTCACAATTCTAGATACAGCAATTCTAGCATTCTGTCTCAACGCAAAGGAACAGGATTCACATAGTTTTTGCAAGACTGGATCGACACCAAACTGCTGGCAGCACCATTAAAACCTCTCCGTCCGAACCATGGCTGGCCGCTCGCGGTCGTCCTGCTCCTCTATCACTGACCTGGGGCACACGGCATATATGCTTGGAGCAAAGAAGGCAATGAGCATTCCAAACCATCCGTGTATGGCCCATATCCACCTACATTTGAGGTGGCTTCTTGGGCTCAATGTATATATTTTATATATACAGTACCAGTCACATGCGTGGTCTGGGTATATAAAGGACCGCATGTGCGGCCCATTCTGAACCAGAACGAATCAAGGCCCTCAGAGTCGGAGACCCAACACCGACAGCAGAAGCAACCACACCTCAGACCTCCCCAAAAATAACGAGAATCTGTACCCACCATTGTTCTTGGAAGGCAAGGTCTGCTGATGTCTGCATCCTGTCTGTTGCCTCCCCTCAGACTCAGCGGAGGTCGGGCGTCCGACCTCACCGAGCGCCGGACTCCAATGGATATCTCTCCTCTCCGCGCGTCGGACCTTTGGAGCGCATGTGGAAACACCAGATATGCATTACGAGCACGAGCACGGGGTGTGCTTCAAACTGGCAGAGACAATGGCATAGATACATCATAGACAAACTGTGTAGATTGATATTAGATTTATGTGTTAAGACTTAAAAAGGTGTTCGATGTTTTAGACTGTATAACTCATGCCTGCTCCACACAAATGGACTGAAACAAAAATGAACCTCGCGGATGGTAGGAATGATCCTTAATTGAGTGAACATCCTGGGCACTGGAATCAATCAAATAAAGGACATGGGTGCCTGAAGGTCTTTCATATACCTCCCTACTATTCCCAAGGAATAGCCAGACCGCGCCCAAACGCGGCCCAAGAACGGCTTGAACTGCTCCGCCGCGGATTGGAGCCGCACGGACCTGAACGAAGGGAACCGGAACAAAACAAACTCTGTTATATATATATATAGGCTGAACAGTTTCCTGCCTACCATGTGGATTTGACTATAGATCTGTTTTATTGGCATTCCATCTGAATCTGTTCATCTCCTTTTTCCACGACTGCCACGCTCCACTCCTCCATCTCTTCGACCCCGTGCACCAAACGAAAGAACCGACTGCACCGGCCTCGAGTCCGCCTCAGTCTGAGGCTCCGAACACTGCCTTGGAGCCCAGCAGGCCCTTGGGGAGCTCCGTCGAGGCCAGGAGGCTGAACCTGCCGAGACCCGGCACCAAAGCGATTTCCAAGGCGTGAGGCGGGGCGTTGGAGTGAATTGTTAGTCAGCAGTTTGTTGGAAACCTTCTCAAGTGACAAGTGAGAAGACGCTCGGAATATGAGCATCATGCGCTTTTGCGAGAATGGCAAGCCCTTTTGGATTACTGCACTTTCCAGGTCGGTACTTCCATGGTTGGTGAATTCTGCACGTGAGTCATTGCAGTGGAAATCATGGCAACAGGTTCATGGCCTGACTCAGCCTTGGAACACCTGCCAAGCACTGACCATTTGCGTACTGCATAATGCGTCAGGCCAAACATGGCCAAACGATCTACCCTCTCTCCAACACTCGTGAACTAGACAATGGCCCCTGGAAAGGCCATTCTCCTTGACAAACAGGGGGTTGTGCACTTGCATGTTTGTTGCAGGGAGGGTAGGCAAATTGCAAGCACAGATATCCGCCTGGCCAAGCCTTGCCGACAGCCGCCGCCTACTGTTGAGAGTGGTTGGCCCAAGGTAGGCAAACTTAGACTTAACAGAATCATTGTCAAATCGTGGGATAAACAAACATGGCACAGCAACGGAATGGGATCCTAGAGGAATTGCAGCTGGATACATTTGTCATTGATGGTGAGTTGGGATGTTGGGGAATTGTTCTTCCATCATTATCCAGCATTCACCAGTTGCGGATGATTTGGTCAACTACATACGAGCGGAAGCGGTTTCTTACCCCAACACCTATTACCTACCCCACCCCAATGGCACAACGAGTTACCCCAGGGAACCAAAAGTTACCCCACACATCCAAACCCCATGGCACAGCGGTTCTTATGTCCTGTGTTTCTTCTTGCATTGTATCCTAAAACTATGTAGTTCCCTTGCGCTTTCAATGTGTGGGATTGACCATTATGAACATCTTTGACCCCAGAAGTTTGTAAGATCACCATGGCACACCTTGTTTCACCCCAGTCGAGGCGCCTTCCCAAACCACGCCGCCCTTGCAAATGGTTTTCCTATTTCTTTGGAAGTGAAACGTACCGGTGAGATCTGTTGGACACCAGCCGCACATGACAATGTCTGCCGGAAAATGAAGACCTTTTGACATATATAGATATATATATATATACACATAATAGTTTTATACATATATATATATATATACAGTATTTGAAACACCAATACAGAACTTAGAAACTGCAAAGGTGATAGTAAGCTATTCTGAGCAACCTTCCTAGTCTTCTCAGGAGTGCTTCTGCCAAACTCAGTGTGCTTTCGCTTTGCAGGAGTCTCCATGGCAGTAGCTTGACCCAGCCACGTGTAAACTTGAGCTCCAGTTGCTACAACCATGCTTTCACACACGGCATGGTATCATGCCACAAGTGAGGGGTACCAGAGAAGAACGAGTTTGATTAATCTCTCAGGTGGCACCAAGTGTGCCTTCTGGATGAATTCTAATGAACAAACCTTCTGTTTGAAGTGCTCATTTATTCTTTGAGGCATCTTTCCTATTTGCCCACAGTAGATCCTAAGTTGGATGGAAACTACATCTAGCATCCTGCGCGCCCTTGTGTTTAAGATCTCTAGTACTGCAAGACTGTCGATCATCTTCGAGATGAGATATGTACAGTAGTTTCCTTCGACCAAGGGCACACCAACATGAGACAACTAAAGGGTGCCCGAGACAAGAAACAACCTTGACCCAGTATCATTGATCTGCTAAAATGTCCCTTGCAGCAACAGAAACAACTCTCAAAACTATTCAAAACTATTGTCTTGGAGAGATGTCACCCTCCTGCCTCGTGCAATGACTCGTCCCCACATGCTGCCTGGCGAGTGCGCACGGAGGCAACTCACCGCAGCCGCAGCCGCAACAACCCCACACAACAGCACGCCCCACAACAACAATTACATATATACAATTACTATTATAGGCAATTAGTGGCTTCCTGTTACTAGTAGTAAGAATGCTCCTAGTAGCGATGCCAGGAGCCCCTAGTAGCGTACTTGCTCCTAGTAGTAAGGCCAGGAGCCCCTAGTAGCTTCCTGTTACTATTATAGGCAATCAGTGGCCACATCGGAACATCCGCACCCCCACCTGCCTCACGATGATTGCGTCAACAGCAACGGAAATTGCTTGTTGTTGTTCTTTCAGCATCGGTGTGAGCCATGATCTTGAACCATGCGGTAAATGAGGCCGATTCAAGAGCCACACATATTTTGAACCTTAATCATAATCAACATCAAACATCCATGTCTGAGCATGTTATTTTCCTCAGATCTTCTGAAGTCTTGCCTGCAACTCTGAGCCTAAACGGCTGAAGATCCATAGCCAGTGAATCATTCGCATCTGAACTAGATGTCACGCGTTGGTTGGGGTCACACCACTTCCACTTCCACTTCGGGCATCCAGCAGCATCCAGTCACTTCAACTCCAAGAGTTGCTGACCCATCTACAGTAGTCACCCCCTCAGCTCCTCGGCTCACTCCGCTCCCGATGGCCTCTCTCCCAGCTGAGCCATGCGAGGCCGGAGCTGAGAAGTACCAAAGCCTTGCGCCCCAACACGCCCAACGCCCCGCGGTTTTGAGGCGTTCGAACCGAACCGGGACCGACCCGACCGGTGCGTCGGCGGATTCACGGAAGGAGATCCGAGGATCGGTGCTGCCTTCTTTCTCTGCGGGACTTAGAGAGGTAACTACTTTGTGTTTTGTATGTCGTTGTGCGGCACCAAAAGCGATGTGTTCGTCGTTGGGCCCCGCAACACGACAATGGGGCCCGGATGCATTGGCTGGTCCTTGGTCTACAAAGAGGAGATGATAGGCACAGCCCGAGATGAGCATTGGATCTCGATTGTGTTTAGCCCAACTTGGTCATTGCTTGGGCCCTGCTGTCCGGGCTGTGACGGTGATTCATTATGCTGCTGCTGCTGCTGCTGAGGATGAGGATGAGGATGATGATGATGATGATGAGGAGGAGGATAAGAAAAAGAAGAAGAAGAAGAAGGTAAAAATGATCTCAATCAACTACTAGCAAACTAGCCTCTTGACCCCGAAAGTCCGCCCAAAAATGTCACCGCCACTTTTCCATACTTTTCCACTGGTGCCGTGACGCGATCCTCCCGGGTGCCTTCCATGGGGCTTGGCAAATCCGCCGTGCCATGGGCGGAGAACGGGTCGTTGCGGACGGCCCAACAGGGAAAGCCATACATGGTGATGCACCAAGGGATGCACCCAGTCGATTTCGGAGTGGGATTGGCCCAGGCCCCCAGCGTTTGATTTTCTGGCTACAGGTTTCAGCTACTTATAGCCACTTGCCGTCTTGCTCCCGTGCTCGCGCGAGCAGGGTCGGAGTGAGGCGGCGGGTGCTGCAGCCATACCACAAAGTCACAAAGTTGCTGTCTTAACATATTTTAAATGGCTGTGAGGCAAAGCATTCTTGCGTTAAGATTCACACGCCAAGTGTTTCTGAGGCTTGCGCGACATGAGGGGCAACTGTTTGAGCTAGGATGGCTGCAAAAGCAACAAGGAAACCATCCGCAGGTTCTGACTGGAACTGATCAATCTACAACACGAGGTTGAGGACATGCAAATGGCTTTTGGAAAACACATGATGTTGTTTGCACAGGTTTTCTTGTTGGGTGCCCTCCACACCACATGGGCCCCATATTGTGGGGCAAGTGGCATGTAAGAAGGACTTGTCACGAGTGACATCAATGCCAATGATCTAAGAGATGTTCTTTAGCTGTCAAACTCATGCTGGCCTTCAGTAGGCATCCGCCTCAACTCAACTATCTCACTGTTTCTCTTATCTTTTCTCTCCAAGCTTCATGTGCCATCACCTAACTACTGGACATCATTCGGGTCTGCACCCCTTCACAGGGACCAATCGTTCTCATGGTGTTGGCCACGTGCTGCCGACCCGACGTCTCCACCGACTGGCCGGGTGACAAATGTCCAACATTTGTGGAGACATTGCAAGTCTGTGATAGAGCTCCACTGTATATGATTTCAACCACCAAACGAAGCATATGGAAACCATCAAGAACGCAAGACCCTGACGCTACGGCTATGCCACGGCCATGCCCCTGTGCGCCTGTTCCACTCAAAGCCTCGGTCTATAATGTCAACTCATTATGGAACCCACATGAACCTACGGCCTAGTATGTTCACATTCCAATGGCTTCCACTTGGGACCATCGACCCATCGCTGTGGTGTTTTGGTCCGGGCTGTGGACGTCTGACTTCGGGTGCGCCGGCTCAGCCAAAGAGGCGACTCAGCAGTGGCCTCTGAGGATGGGGAAATGATCACAGTTCACGCAGCGAAAACCCACGCGTGGAAGTGGTGGAACAAATAAATAGGGCGCATGGTACTCAGCAAGCGCATCCGCTCTTTCGATGTTCTGTGAAACCATGGCTCGGTCTGATGGTCAGCACATGCCCTCCAGATTTGTCACTTGGACCTATTCCACGTGTCGATGAAACTAGACCACTCCTACACTCCCACACCACTTGACAAGAACTTCGTCCAATTGCTTCAGGTGTTGAGTACGACCAAATCCACCCGACGCACCCAGCTGCGCATCCGCTCTCATCCGCACGCCATTTGTCTTAAGTGCCCAGAGGGGGCGGGCCAGAAGGGTCCCCCACCGGCGAATGCCACGGGGGCTGCGGATCAAAAGCACGAGAAGCCGCCCCAAAGCCACATGGCTTTGGATAGTAACCCTCCTCCAAAAACTCTTGTACCACTGCCAAATGTTGCATGATATTGCATGATGTTGCTAGACTTTGACGTTGAGACCTCAGCCGCCCTTCTGAAAGAACTTGTGACCCAAGGCCACTTCTGGCATTGGTCTCAGCGATGCATCAGCTCTTAGACCTGGAGAGTGGACATCATGGGCGCCTCTGGCCTTAATGGTCGTCTCTAGAACGGGGGAAGTCTACAGTGAATATTTTGGAGAAACCACTAGGTTGGGATACTATGGGGACGCTTTCCGGAACGATGTTCCGGCTCTATGTGTGTTATTTTGGGGGAGATTGCCTGGCCTACCGTTGAAAGGTGCAAACAGGCGTGGATGGAGATTACGACCTCCGGTGCACACACCGTGGCTGAAGGGAAAACACATGAAGCCTCGCTTGGAAATGGATTCCCTTATTTATAGTATAAAGTACAAAATAACTTGTATATGTTGAAGACGCAACCGTTTTCACAGCTGCTGGTCTCATCGTCATCTCATCATCGGGTTAGGTTGTCAGAAAAACCGCCCTTCCTACTGCATGTCTAGGTTCAATGACATCAAGCACATGTTGGTTCGCACATGTGAAACAGCAGGGCCTAAGCAGTACCCACATGTCTAGAAATGTCTTGAAATCTGCTGCATGCTGCTGCATGCTCCTTACCTCTGCAGTGCACCGACCCAAGGTCCAAGGGTTGGCGACAAGTCCGAATCGGATCATTCCACGCAGCAGGGTTCACAGATTCCAGACCTGCAGTGTCATTCCGACATGGCGTTTTGAGGTCTACTGAGGTCCCCCCTCACATATGACCAGAAGTATTTTCTCAAATCCTACTCCTGGCTTTGGGTGCTTAAGCTTTGAGCTGTTGCGGTACCGCATCATCGCTCCAAGCTGCATTGGCCCAGCAGGTCGCATAAATGGGAGACCATACCTCAACAGCCGCACGTCTGATCAAGTGTGTTTTCTTGTGGTGCAAGCTCCAAAATCACTCTAAAGTGGATTGAGGAGCCCAGGGGGCAACGATCCCCAAGTTTTGGTGGTTTGCATGTACTTGGTGTCTGTGCCATCTTGGTGTCTGTGCCATCTACTCCTTGAAACGTAACAAGTGGCATAGGCAATGCTGCAGCATGCGTCTCAGCTGTCCATGCTGTCGCCTTCTTCGAACATCCAAACAGACAATGAACACCACTTCTTCCAACCCCTCGTGCCTCGAACATCCTCGAACCCCTCCTCGAACCCTATACAGATTTGTACGTTCCAAGGATGAACAGTGCTTCGTCTCCCCTGATCAAGTCGTCCAATTCTTCAGTCCCAGTCCGCAGTGCCTCTGTGTCGAGTCTCTGCCACTCCTTTGGGAGGTTCTTTCAAAGCTTCCTGGGCAACAATGGCGTGCCAGCAGCCATACAGGTCTCCAAATCCAAGCATCCGGTGTGAAACATTGCCAAACTTATCCAAACTTGACTACTGTACACTGTGCGCTGTACTTATATCAGGACCTACCATGGAATCATTCATGGACCCCTTCCCAACCCTAGAATCGTGATTGAACCCCTCCTTGGTGTTTTTCCAACGCCCCAGCTGCCACACGCATCCTTCACCATGAGGATCCCGTTCGGATCCGCCCAGGATACGTCAGTTGAGTCAAGGCCTAAGGAGGCTGTTGTTGGAGCGATCTACTCAAATGCTTCATTCAGAACCTCGCAATCCCCAGTTGAGATTGGAAGCGGTGAGGCGAAACAAACCTTTTTCGAAGGTTCCAAACCCTCTCAAATCCTCCCCTTCTGATTCTCATGATTCTCTCTCTCCACATGGCCCCGACTCCCTTTTCACCTCCGCCCTCCACCCTCCTCTCCTCCAAGAGGAACTGCAAGGGCCGCGCTGGCGGGTCGAAGGACTCCAAGGGCCGCACCTTGTGGGCCATCTGTCGACGGCCGATCGAGCCGATCTGTGCTGGAGAACGCCAGATCCGAGTCATCAAATATATCAAATCACGATAAATCCCAGGCTGATCCAGGAAGCCCAGGTTTGGGGAGTGGCACGGGGTATGGATATTGAAGACCAAGTTTACAAACATCTGTTACTCTGAGATGGGCATGGTGCGTAGACCCTATAGACCCTAAACCCAACATAGGGCATTCAACTGATCTTTTGCTGATCTGGACAACAACTGGACTTGAAGATCCGGTTGGTAAAGGACTCAAACAACCCCCCCTCTGATCAACCACCTCATGACCAAGTCTTTGACCAAGTGTTACTCGATCATGAGGCCGCTGTGATCTTCTCTGCAGTTCTTTGGAACTTGGGCTTTGCTCCATGCCACTGTTTCTTACGGGTAGTCTTGGTCATCAACAAACCAAACACCTCCACACAAAAAACACAAACATATATACATATACAATGACACAATGTTGCGAGTCTTACAGGGTGAGATGGTTGGGGTGGGCGTTTGGCCGCACTCGTGCTGCACGCACGAGTGCCGTCTCTCGGCACGTGAACGTCCAAGTGCCGCACTCGTGGATTCGATGAGTCAATGGCCACATCGCCTGCAAGACGGTTTGGGCAGTGGAAGCTTATATAGCTGATTTGGAAGATGCATTCTGACTCTTTGGCATGGCAAGCAGCAAAATGGGGAGGCAACAGTTTGTTCTTTCTTCGTGTGTTTCCTCAAGAAACCATATTGACCACTTCTATATATATATAGCTGATTTGAGTCCAAACGCTGTGGGGTCAGTACCAGCCAGTTGCCCTGCTGTCCGACCTGAATCGTGCCCGCCTTTGGCATTTAAGAAGTCGCCATTGGCGCCAAAGTGCTTGATTGAGAAGTGTCCAGACAAAACCAATGCCAGCCTTGTCACTCAACCAGGGGCTATGATGCAGGAGATGCTCTTTTTTGGTGTAAGGCCTAAGGGATGATAAATGCACTCTCACTACTAACTGGTTGCAGCAAAAAACGACTTGACCCCTCTCAAGCTCAAGCTCTAAAAATTGGTGTTTCTCCAGGTGGTGGTGCCAGCTCCTGTGTCCTCAAGCAAACGCTGATGAGCTAAGGCACGGGAAGGGGCCGCAAACTCGCATCATCTCGTAGAGCATCTCATTGTTGTTCTCACCCTACCAGTGCTGAGGAGGAACCAATGGCTGGTCACTTGTGTCAAAAAGTGAGTTGGACTTGTCACCATGTCTTCCAAATTTGTACTTAGTATCACCGTTTGCTTTTGCATGCCAACCAGTCGGTGGTGCAAACCATACGAAATACCTCAAACTCCAGAATCTGTAAAACTAGGTTGCGAATGTCGCGCACGTTGTAGGCACAAACACCCACATCCGTTTGCAAGCAAAGCCTTGCTGGAATATGAACACATGATTAACCTCCCCCACCCACCACCCAAATAAGAAAACAAACAATTACAGCAAAATGCCAAGTGACGGACCACCCCCGCAAAGGACAATCTTCCAAACAAGCTCTAGAACTCTCTGTTCTTTTTTCCTGGCTTACTGTTTGCTAATTACAAAGGGTCCAAAAGCCAAAGGGTAAAAGCTACGTACCCTTGCACCCTGATGCTGTCGCCTGGAAAAGGACGGTGTCTGTCGCGAGCTCGAAGATGGTGGCAGCAGCACTCCACATGTCGACTGGAAAGCCATAGTCCTCCGGCAGTGTTTGCAGGCCACGCCACAGCATGAGAGCAACTCCGAGCTGTCTTGGGATCATGAGGGTCAAACTGCCTTGGGATTACAGTAATAGAGGACTCATGCAAACGCCAATCTTTGTTCAGGAACCTGGAGTCACTTGGACCTGAAACTGGCTCTATAATGCTCGATAGACTTGGAACCACTGGATCCCTTCTCATGAAATTCGTGAGCATCCATAGAAAGAATGACCGCAACCAATGGTGCCGAAGAGAAACTGAAGGCATGCTTTGCCTCAGTCACCTGTCACCGACAAGCTTGATCAACAACACATCTTGATGAGTTGGCAGCAAGCCTTGGCTAAGATGCTTTAAGAATCCCCTAATCAAACTTCAGGCCCGCTGTAGCGTGGACATCCTGCCACATACATGTACAATATCTCCACTCATGCGCATTGGCAAACCAAAGCTGTATCTCCCACATCGTCACAGCGGAGAGGCGCTGGTCGCTCCTGTCCCAACATGATCTCCTGAGGTGACAAGGGGCATCCGAACCGGCGCTGGAATGGAACCTACTTACTAGAGAACTTCAAAGCTTGGGGATGATATATATCAACTTATTCATTGCATGATTCATTGCCTGTTGCACATGCTGCGGGAGTTCTTCCTGCAGTAGCGGTGAATCCCCCCAGCACTGCTTATGGAGTCATCATGAGTCATCATATTCCTTACGCTCTCTGATACACCAAACGAAGATCACGCCCGCCAAGCGGCGGGTGCACGATAATTCCGTGGCATCAGCTGATCCTGAGAGTTGAACAGCGTCAGTAGGCAACAAATCACAACAAGTCAAAACCGGTCAAAGGGAATGACCGGTCATTTGCCACTAGTGGAAGGACCCAATCATGCCACTTCAATTTGGGGTCCACTCGTTTCACTGGTCCCAGCACTCCTCTTGGGAACTCGGTTCAACATGACCATTCGGAATCTCCGAATGGCCGGGACATGGGATCTTTGCGGTGGCCGTAGTATGTAGTCGCTCTCAACGCGTGCCTCTAATTGGATTGAACGTAGGCGGCAGTACCCTTGGCTGTCCCTCTCGCTTCTTTGAAACTGGGAGCCGCTAGCAGCGGACCACCAACGAAACCGCCTCACCAACGAAAAGTGTCTACCACATCTGGGAGATGAGAATCAACGACGTGTGCCCGTACCCGGCTTGCCAGGCCTGATGTCTCCTTGTCTCACCTGTCCATTGGTGGCCATCCCAATAGGCATGCTCCCAAATTTGAAACGAGACCACTTGCATCTATCTTGAGACTCCCAACGACTCGGTCGCGGCGAAGCGGCACCGAAGCACTCGGGGAACGGTCCGTCGAATCGAAACACTCCGCCCAAGCGACCGAGCGCAAGCGCTCTGCAGGGCCATGGCAGCTTCCGAAGTCACAGAGTTTGATGGAGCTGTTGTCCTTGGGCGGACCCACCCATGAAGCGCGGTGCCGCATCGAGTGGGGCCAATGTGCGAAAAGAACAGATCCGCACCGGGAGTTCGTTGTGTGTGTTGGATCATTGATTCATATTGATTCATTAGATCAGATCTGTTTAGAGCGGTGGTCGGTCCTGCTTCCAAGTTTATTGATTCCCTATCTATTAATATTAATTATTATGCAATGCAAGTATGTATCGCCATGCATCAGCTGCCAGCAACAAGTTCTCCGGCTTCACGTCACAGTGGAAGAGCTGCGCGTTCCGCAGGAGCCGCAGCGCCAGAAAAAGCTGCCGCCCAAAGTCGCGCACGGTGGGGAGCAGCGGCAATCCACGACCTGCCTGGGACGGTGACAAGAATTCACAGAAAGGGTCACAGCCAGAATCGCCTGGACTCATGGATGTTCATGTTGCTCAATTCTTGCAAAAGGAATCCAAAAGCGGAAAATAGTAGGTTAGGAAGGGTTGGGATCCCGCTGGAGGTTCTGGCGTTTCCTTTCCTTTTCAGCCCTGGTTCAACCGCGTTTCAACTGGTTCGGGGGATCGATGCGCATCGATCCTGGGTGAAGAGAGAGGGTAGGGGCAGGGTATCACCAGGTATCACCCAGCCTCTCCTGGAACATACACTAGCTTATATATTCCAAGGTGGAGTGACATCGGGTTTGAACACCCATCAAAAAGGTTCACACCTGAAGGAAGAGGGATGATTGCTGGCTCTACAAACCATCACACCAAGAGGTCTATATAAATGACATTCCTTTGAGATGTTGTGAGTCTCTCCAGGGTGGCATGATTCTTGGCATGTGTACGTATACGACAGTATGTTTGTTTGCTTGCTGTGGGATGAGTTCACTATCGTCATGTCAACAGGTCCCACCAACTGCACAAACAGGTCCGAGTCATAATCATCACAATACGTGCTAGTCTGATGCCTGGAACCTTTACAAGACTAGCATGATTCAAGCCGGAAAAAACCTGGAACCCATCTTCAGCGCTCTTCTCCGCGCAAACACCACTTGGATCACGCCTATTCACCCCGGTGGACCGGGGCCACGTTCACCCCTCCAACTCCCAACTCCCATCACCACCCCACGCAGTACCGGCCAGGCGCCCCGTACTTCGCCAGTGCGGTACGTAGATTGCATTTCATCAACTCGAAGACAGCGGCCAAACGACCCTGGTGGACAAAGGTCTCAAAGAAAGCGAGGCACAAGATGCATCGCATGCCTTCGGGATCCTGGGATGGCTGAGTTCTGGAGCTGGGGATGTCATGCAAACTCTCGTTGCGCAAGTCATATCAATATCCATCCTATATCTACTGTAAATCTGATATGGACAATAAATTTACTGACAGTGTATTGGAACATGCAACTGCACCTAAGACCAAACATGGATATGTCAGGGAAATGTTCATGCTCCAACTTAACGTAACTAAAGCTGCCTAAAACGCCTAAAAGTTCCGTTGGGCCCCATAATGTCCAATATGAATTCCATTGACAATCGATACACGCATTGTGTTCTGCACCCTAGAATCGCCAAACAAAACAAAATCAACTACAATAGGGTGCTCAAACTTTCCAGCTGGCCTTGGCTTGCCTTCCTGTTGCCAAGTTTCTTGTGGTGCCAGCTTGGTGATCAGTTGACTCATGATCTTCACCTCGATACTGGTAACGTGGGGATTTCATCCAGCAAAAGCGGCTGGTTTGAAAGAAAACGCGAGTGTCGTGGCTACCGGGCTACCTTTCGGTTGTTGGTAGTTGCCCATTCTACAGCTTTCAAAGTAGTCAAGACAGCATCATTAGAACATATTTTAACCATGCATGCATGACCGATGAGGCGTTCCTGCTAAGGGCACCATTCTGCCTCTGAGTCCGTTAAGGGGACCCACATGGACCCACAATCCTTGTGTTTGAGGCAGCTTGAGGGAACTGGAATCAAGCCGAACCAGTGACAATAAACAATATATCATCGTAAACCAATCATCTGCGAAGATATGCGAAGATCACTCCCCAAGAAACTGTGGCCTTCCTGCCTTCCCCCCCAAAAAACAGGACCAAAACAATCTCACGATATCCCAAAAGGACCCCAAGGACCCTGTCATATAACCCCACGTCCACCACCGTCCCTCCATCCCACGCACCTCGCGTTCCAACGCCCTCCGTGTCTGCTCGTTGGCACGCGTGAACTTCACCGCATAGGACGTTTTCGCGTTCGCCGCGTTCTCGGCGTCGCGGCATCTGAAGACGGTGGAGAAGGTGCCTTCGCCCAGCCTCGGTCAAGTTCTCTCAGACCATCCGTGGCAGGCTGGAAGAGTTACAGTACCTACTTAGAATAGATGGGTGATAAAATGTGATTTTTGCATTAAAGCCTTAAAGTTAGACCATCCATGGATAGATCTTAAGGTGTCTCAAAAGGGGTCCAGCCTGATTGATGGTCTGGGGTGGGGAAATGCACAGGCACCCCTTTCTGGACGCAGGTCATCGAGGAATTTTTCGGCTCGGGATCCAGTGGCGGAACCAGGGGTAAGATCTAAGTACTGGAAAGCCAATTCAGCTCGTTGGTCATTGTTGGGTCAATGGGTTGGTTTGCCCGGACAGCAAACGTTTCCGACCACGGAACAGGGTTCTCCAGGGGGTCAAAGGGGGGTTCGGGACAGCTGACAGCTTCGTTCGTGTCACTAGTTGAGCAAGCCGAACTTCACGTTTCTTTTCCCGCTTCGTGACGTTTCGCGTTGCGCTTTTGGGCGTTACGATGCGAAGCTGCAGCGAAAGCACGTTGAAGGCCTCGCAGCATGGTTGGACTCAATGCTACAGGCTGTGAAAATACACAGAGGCTGTGCAAGACACTTGTCCGCCAGCTCAAATGTACTGTGAGCTGTCATGGCTCGATTGGGAAGAGGACTTTGTTGCCGTGGCGCATGGGACTGACTGGTCTTTGGATGGTCTTAAAAATGCACTCAAGTTATCGTCTCGGAGTTAGTGAACTCCAAGACGATAAGTTGAGTGTCCCAAAACCAAAAATACCATGTAAAACACATGGTTTTCTGGCCCTCTGCATGTTGCGGTCCGGGGACCTCCCCCGTTTACTCAACATGTTGGGTTGACCGGGGGCGTTACCTCAGCTTGTTTTCGAAGAAATGTGCCGACATGTGGAACTGCAGGCATTTTCCAGCGTTTGGCGATCTGCAGGGCAAAGCCTTCTGGTCAAACCAACATGTTGGCCCCGTCTGTTACAGGCTTGGGTAGATCAACAACATCAACAACAATTCTGGCCACTTTTTGGAACTGGGAACTCTCACACCTAACCCTGTCCCCGCCAGTTTCCTTGCAAAAAGGTCAGGAACACCAACCCGCAACTTGCGATTAGGTTCTTTTTCACCAATCCTGAACCCCCTGCATCACCCCCGCCAACAAACATCTCTACATTTCACCAAGCACCCTCCCCTCTGCTGTCCACCTTCTCCGCCATGTCACTTCTCCTCCACCACGAAGCGGCCCTGGGGACCACAGGCGTCGCCCGCCTCGACCCGGAAGGTGTCCAGCTCCGCCTCCAGCGCGGCGAGTTCAGAGAAGACCTCCGACCTCGGGCGGCGCAGCGGAGGGTGAGTGGAGTCACTTGATAAATATGTTTGCTTTTGATTATATTTATTCTACTTAGTATCCTTGTGGCTGTGGGCCAAACCCTGGTAGGTTGACCTCCCAGGTGGTCCATTTATTGGTGGTCAATCAGGGTCCCGTGGTTGTGACCCACAGGCAGGAGCACTCGAGCATTGACCGGGTATGGGACGGCCGACTGTATACACATGCATGATACACGCAATAAATAACCGATATGGCCTGAAGAATGACCAAATAAGCAAGCATGCTGGTAAAGGCCAGGGTCTCTTTGGCGTCCAGTAAGCGCAAGTTCTCGGCCTTCAAATCTTTCACGGCTCCATCCAGCAATTTCACACGCCATCGGGAGGACTCTTGAACGAAGGATTCGATCTCCCCACGCTGATCGTTCAACTCCGCAGCTGATTTTAAGCCATGGAGGACGACCATTGACCCGATCTGCATTTCCTGGGCAGGTTTTAACTGAACATGTACAGTAAAGGTTCAGCCTTCAAATACTAATCTGTTCGGAGAGGTCTATATATTTCCAGCTTTTCAGGAGACTAACGCCAATAAGGCAAGTCCTGAGATGGAACATGATGGAACCACCTCTCTGAAAAATCTTAAGAGACCACGGTGACCACAGGTCAAGAGACACCAGGCCAAACAAAAAGCTAAAATCCACATGGCAAGAGACCTCTCCCAAAAAATACACAACATGTCTTTAAACACAACATGCCTAGAACATCACACCATTCTCCACCATTCTCCAAGCTTCGGGCTTCTTCTCCACCGTCTCCTCCTCCCGAAAAGCTGTCTGCTGAACGACCGCGCCCCGCTCCGTTTCGGGGCCCACCCAGCCCGGCGGTGGTGGGCGTTCGGCCGGCTCTTCCAAGTGCCTGAGTGTGAGCTGGCACACCATAAATGCGGAACCTGAAGTGTTGGACAGGAAGATCAATTCCAGCTGATGTTGGCATGATATTCAAAGGACAGATTCAGTGTTTGTTGTTGTTGATGGGTCAAACGCACCTACAAATCTTGTACTGGCACTAAATCTTCGCATTTCGAAGATAACTCATACAATATTAAATATATAGAAATGTTTGTCGATGCTTATCGTTTGAGTGGCCTTGGAAGACTACAAGCGAAAAGTGTGACGTTCATGTTTCTATGTTGTTCGTCGAGCCCAGCCCTCGCCTTTCGGTCTTGGAACCCTTGGCAAGGCGTAAACAAGGCATGCTTTCTGCTAAATGGCACGGGGATTGTTTGACATCTGCCACATCTCCAAGCTACCAGTACTGTTCCAAAAAGAACTCATGATCAGAAGTAAACATGCAATCTTGATTGTTGATGTTTGGGTGGAAGAATTTCTTCCATCAACAGTACTTAAAGGATCTTAAAGGATCTTAAAGATAACATCTCCCTTACTTTCCACTCCGAGCTGCAGGTTTTCTGCCTTAAAATCATGAGACTTGCCAGAGCCGAGCCGGACCCTCCAGCGTTGCTTGGGTGGAAGGTAATCCTCGACGATGCCAATCCTTAAGCATTTGTCGGCCTGAACTCTGCAGAATCTCGCTACAAAACTTATGACGATCATTGCAGACTCCTCTAGACCATTGGCGTGACATCCAAAATGACTACCTGTACCCCTTTCAAACACGCATATCCAGCATGACCAAATTCAACTGTACGTCTTCATCTCAGGTGCTGCCCATTTCGTTGCACATGAAGCCCTTTCAAGCGCACCTTGCACCCAGGATGCAGCTGTTTCTTCAGAAGCCCCCAGGGCAGTGAATTCGGGGAGCGGCTCCGCCCTTCGCCCATGGCGGCGGTCTGCCCCGCACGCTGCCGTTGTTTGCTCCGCAAAATGATCCTCATGTTTGCCATGCTGTCCTACAACTCCGATGAGCAAAGGCCAGTTGAACGTGTATGGAGGTATATTCACCTGAAACAGGTGGTCCTCAGAAGCAAATGGTGTTCAAGGGTGTTCCGTTTTGGTCGTGAAGTACCTTTCGTCTCTACCTTCCCTGGCTTTGGATTAACGATGTTTCACGTCCCAGGCCCAGATGGTTGACCATGACGTCATCCTTGGAGTTCCCAAAGCACGGTTGGGAGCTGAAGAATTTGGCAGGTAGCTCACGCCAACGTTTGACATCTCGTGGTCAATTCTGGCGGTCTCTAGTTTGCGAGTCTTGAGGCTACGGCGAAAGTCTAAGCGCATGGTCTTGTTGTGCACTGCTGCCTTGTTGCAATTGTCGGCTTCATAAGTGTCTTGAGTCTTGAGCAAGCTCCAGCCAATTGGATAGTGACAGCCACAAATGGAGTCTTGGAGGGAAGTCCCGGCTACGACTAGTGGCTAGCACACACATCGCAACCATCAAGCTAGCTTGAGGATAAATAGTATCCTATGAAATGAAAAAAGTCATATTGGTTGACAAGTTGCCTGCTGCCTGTGGGTATTTTTATTAGCCAGTCGTTTCGTCTGCGTCTTTCGTCCTCCGAGGCCCGGAGTCGTTCGTTTCTTCGTGGGTTTTGACCACACGCTGTCTTCGTTGGACTGGACCATGTTTGAGTTGCAATCTGACAAATGGAATAGGCAACCGAGAAAGACCGACTACTATTTTTGAGTCGATCCTTGATGATCCTGCAAAAGCTCAATTGACACTAACCGAAGAGAAGGAACCATAAGGAACCTCCCTCTTTACTGCCCAAACACTCCATGTATGGAACATGTAAACATTTTATAGTATTTTATATTTATGTGTTTTTTGGGTGGATTTGCTTACTAAGTATAACTTATATTAACTTATATTAACGCATAAGTATTCCAGTTCCATGGAGTGTCTGGTATTGGATCGTTTCCACCGGTGACTCCGTGTCACTGTGTGACCGAGGCCTTCACTTCGCGCCCAAACCCACCAGCTCGCACTCGAAGAGCAAGGTGGCATTCGGAGGAATAGGCCCTTGCCGGTGCGGCACGGCACGCGCCACCCAGTCAATTCAAGCGGTTGACAGCATACATTAGATTCACTTTCCTAATGCGATCTTTGGAAGGTCTACGGTATTTGTTGTAGTTGCTATAGTGACTCTTAGTGAGTACTGAACAAATCATCTATTTCGTTCTGAGATATTTCTGCAGTAATTAGTGGGGAGCCCATTGATGCCCACATCTGACAATCCCATCATGTTGAGCCAGATCTGGACACTTTGAGCCACTCAGTGTCCATTCTGTCCTTGCATATTATCTTTACTTTGTGATCAGCGACGAACAACGACAGCGCCCGCACCAATGCCACGTGCCCCATAGCCGAGTTTGGGTGGAATCTTCAACTGCCTCAGAGTGGTCAAGGCACGCAATGTGAACAAATCATCTTGAGGTTGGTGGCCGCCTCACTTAGCAAGCCAACAGATTGGTCAGGCCAAGTCTGCGGCTAGATCATCATATCTTGTATTTGGAGGCACCGCGCCCCGCTAGTTACAGTAAATGGTATTTGTAGGGAACAAAAATGAAGCAAGCATGCGTCGTACAATACTTCTGATGCGACTGAGTAAAATACTATAGCGGTCTACAGCCTATATCACTTCACATGTTTTCCAATGCTTCAGCTTCTGACTTCTGCTTATGCTTCTATGACTCTTCGCCCATTTCTGGCACGCCAAGGCACCGCTTGCCGCCCACGCGCATGGTCAAAATGCCTTCATCCCAACCGGCGATCACCTGGCCCTTGCCCACCGCAAACTCTAAGGGATCGCCTCTGCCGCCACGGTCGTTGGAAAACCCACTCCGGGATCGAGGATTCAATGGTGCGGGCACAAATGATTTATTTCTATGTGTTTAATTATAAAGCTTTCCCCTCATTGGGGTATGAGTCAATGGTGAATGTTAAAGACATGCTAAGCAGTTGTGAGATTTTTTGGGTATCTTTGGGTTGTTGCATATTTTCTGGACTCGGGACCCTGTAGTTTTATGACGGGTTCGGTTGGAAGCCAAAGCAAATCTTCTGTCGCAATTCTCACGCAGCATTGGAGCTGGTAGCAGGCTAACGAAGTTCTGGATTACTGGTCCATGATCCTACGCCAGCCAAGAGTTTTTTGTGATAAAGCTGCATCGCTACAGCCCCATGTGGGTCTTGCAAACAAGGAAACCAGAATTAGAATGAAGGAGAGCAGTTTGCCCCCTGCAAGCTCACAAAGGGCACGTATGCAGTATGCAGGTACCAAATCACAACAAAAAATGGCGTTCTAAACCTGTCCATGTCAAATCTCCAAACACATGCTGACCCCATCAGTTTCCTGGAAAATAAACTTACAGGTCAATCTTTGTCCACCTGTTCTTGTCTAGTAACTAGTATATAAACAACCGTTTTGTCAGTTATCCACATACTTCCTGGGTCAGGTGCTCGTTGCTTGGGCAATTGAAATCCAGACCGCACTCTCCCGTTTCTGCACTGACCTGAGACGTCTTGTCCCGGCCTCTGGAAAGCGAGGAGTCAAAGACCTGGAAAGCGAGGAGCATAGATTACAAAACATGACCCGCTGATCTGCAAAGAAAGCTGGATTCACTGGCCTACAACAATTGCTCTGAATCGTCCTTGTGTGCAATTGCGGCTGTTCTTTGTTGTTTGGCCACCAACATCGTTGCCACTACCAGGCTGAAAAGCACCACCACCACCACCACCACCCACAAGCCATCGCCACACCGATCACCGAAAGAATGAGTCATTCATCATCCATCGCCTCCTGCCTTGCCACTCTCCAATGTCCCAGTGTAGTGCCTCATTTGGCGCACCGGGGGTTTTCTCTTTCCACAGAAAAAAACGGTGTTTCCCTAGAAGAGGGTCCTGCACAAGGGGCCTTTACCACACTAAAGGTAGATAAAGGTAGCAGGAACCACCCACAAGTGAGTATTCATGTCCCCTGACGACTGTACGTGCCGGAGTGGAAAAAACAAAGCCGACAAAGCTATGTCTTATAGCAAAAGGGATTTTCCAAGCAAATAGGGCAATACCCTTCAACAGTATCTGATGTTTCTACTTCCCTGACAGGTGTTCCGTTTGATAGGTTTTTGGTCCACAAACCGCCACTCTCCACCGAGATCCACCTCCAAACCATCATGGTCTTCTTCTGGGCCCCTGGCACTTTCACCGTTTGCCCCTTCACGGGAGCTTCACCCTCTCCGACGACCTCGATGAATCAGAATGCACGCTACGTGCTTCGGACGAGGCCGAAGAAGCGTGCTGGGACTTCAACCCAGGGTCGTGTCTGGGTGTTTCTATTCTTTTCATATCTACATTTGCCTAAACTATTCTCTTCTAAGATAGATGTGTCTCTATTCTTTTCATGTTTAAACTATTTTTTTCACACACGTTCCAGCCATCTCTTGTGGCCAAGGAGTGGGTTGATTCAATGTCTTCCTTCCAAGTCACATCAGTTCACCAAGTGTTGATATTGGTGTCCACCTCACAACTCAGGTCTAGGCTCCTATTATTGTGGTAACCTGTGGCGCTGATGTGACCAAATGTCTGCATGCCTTTCTACATCTTTCTACTCGCTAGCCCAGGCTGGTGCCATTGCACTACATTGCGTCAGCTGTTATTGACAATGCTTGGCAACCAACCGCCACGTATTGGTCCATATCCTGTATCTCTCACAAACGCTCCTTTTTGCATTCCCGACCTTCGCCGGCGATGTTCACCATCCCAGCTCGCCGCACATTCGTGCGGAGCGGCAAGTTTTTCAAGGCAATCAACATCAACATCGGCCAACACACAAACCTCTCGAGGCTATCGTCCCAGCACTTCTTGTAGGACTTTGTTCACCTAGGTAAATGATGGTAAATGTAACCACTACCAAGTTCGTCACTTTCCTGCTCCTTTCGTACCAAATCTTACATGACCTATCATCCACATCCACTAGTGAATTGCGTTCGCAATTCCCTGACTCACCTAGCCCTGGCGCGTCGGGATCTCACTTGAAGACGCCGTCGGCCCTGAAAACCCGTGGCGGACGGGCTCACGGAAGACCGGTGTCCGGTCTAAACTCTAAACGGAGGGGTTACCAACGGAGGGGTTCTAACTGGGTTGGTTTAGTTGTCTTGACGTTTTTTGAAGAACCGTTTTAAGGCTCGAAACATGTTCCAAGACCATTTTATCAATATATACACACATTATATATATATACAATGTTTATTTAGCCTAATTAATGATTCAACTTCTAACTGACAAATCAGTGGGCAGCTTGTTGCATCTCCGCAAGCATTGCCAGGACATGGGGCTCACATTGTGACATCTCTCACAAGCTACGACTGCCAAAGCAAACCCCCAGACTCTCGGCTTCAATAGCTATGCCATGCCGCCAACGCTGTATGCACCGGGGGTGACGCGCCCAGCTGAGTAGTGGCACCCCAAGCCAAAGAGGATCCTCCGATCCTCGCGCTCACCTCCCAACTTCTGCAGCCTCAGCCGGTCGTCAATGGTGAAACGGATGCCGAACTCAACGGGTCGTTCCATGCTTTTTGGACTTCGAACGGCCAAACACCTGCTCAAAGACCCAGTTCTGGGGTGGCACCTCTGGGCACCTTCCAGCATTAAAAAAACACGAGTAACTATATTAACTATATCAATGATCACCACTAGAACTGGGTTCCTGCTTTTTGTCTGACAAGCGCGCGCCCCACCTTGAAAAAGGACCGTGCAGGGCGAACCTGCCGCGGGACTGGCCGGCTCAGCCCCCCACGCTCGCTTGCACCACTGCGAGTGCCCAGCGGGGTTGCGATCCTGCGGGGGCGACCGCAGGACAGTGTCTGTAGTGGGCCCCCAAATAGATAGGAACGGATTCCAACACTTTTTGGAAGGGGATTGTACTTTTCTCTATCTAGCTGGGGGTCTATGTGAACCATCTTTGGTCTGTGTTGGGTGGGACTTTGTGGTGGTTCTCAGGGGTATGTAATGGAGATCAATCAAGCCGTTTCGTCGAGAGGCAGTTGTCCAGTTTCACCCAGCACCTTTGAAGGAAGTCCTCTGTGATTGCAAATCCCCCATCCCAAGAATGCTCAGAGGCTCAGTACCTTGCTTCCTCCCAAATGTGCGAAGCCTGCAACTAGCAAACCAAAGAATCAACTCCTGATACTTACGTAGTTTGTTGTTTCTCCTCATGTCATTAATTCTGTTCAATGTCAGATGTTCCCAGGAAACCGTCAAACAACACCACATCTCAGTGAATGACACCGGGGTTCTCTGATGCAGCATCCACCATGGTTTACCAACCACAACCTGCCCGGAGCCCACCCAAGCATTGTACCGGTCGGGCAAGGGCAAAATAGCTCGCCATCGCCCCACCACTCCGTCTCCCAATGTGCCTCCGGGCCCCCACACACACACGCTCCATCTGGGACAAAGAACTATTTACATGGACCCCGGGGTCAACCAATGTACCTGAACACTCCCTATATACATATGCAATGTGTTACCTGCAAAAAAAAGATGGGAAACATATGGAAACATGTAATTAGGCATATATGATCACAAAACCGATTCCATACACTTGGCTGCTCTTATCCACGTTTCTTTACACTTCATTGGTTGACCTCACATGAGGGACTCTTCACCTAGATACCTGTAAAGTGAACTCCAGGTTGCCAATCGTTCACTTCAACGTATGTCAATTTAGGACCACACTCAAACCAAGCAAACCAAAAACCAAAGCGCAACCCCCGCAAGAGTCCAGAACAGCATGTAAAACAACAAAAACATCCACACGTTATGTGATTTCTTCGTGCGATGGACCATTTTCGCTACGTCATCCCAAGCATCCCGGAGCTGCTCCTTCTTGTTGAGCACCTTTTGAGCCCATTGTAGGCCATCATCTCGTCGGTCCAAGGCGCCATGCATCTGCTCCTGAAACTGCTCATGGCCGTTTAGAATCCGCCCAAACACATGGGATCACTGTGTAGCCAATCTAGCAACATCAGACTGCACAAATGGACCAGATCCATACTCAATCTGCATGAACTATATAAATCAATCTAAATCAGCTACACATGGAAACTTGATGAAACTTGATGAGTTTGATCTTTGGTGTGTTTTCAGCTCAACAAACAGCACATGCTCACCCCTTTTCCTCCACATATCGATGGATCTCGACTGCTCCAGCACGCAAGAGCCTCGTCCGGATGGCAGGACACATGAATCCACATTTGGACCGGAAGGTCAACCAAGGTATCCTGGTCTTGACCCACGGCCATACACCGATCCTATGGCGACGCGACCCCAACAATTGGCCCCTGGTGACCGTTGACCCACCCTGGAGGGGATCAAAACCCATCGCCCGGTCCACCCTGCATTGACGGCCAGGAAGTCTTGGACGGCATCGGGTTGTATGTCCAATCGCCGCACACTCTAATTCCCAATGTTCAGAGTTGTCCATCCTCGAACTGTTTGGAGTTTTGAAAGTTGTATTGTATTGTGCATGGTGCTGATGCTGTGTATTGGAATAGTGTGGAACTCACTGAGTCCTCGGTACTATCGAACCCTCCCCTCCCCCCGCTGCTGGCGCCACTTCCGACTTCGGCCCGGCCCTTTGGCCAGGTGGCACGTCGTAGGCCTTTAACCTTGGTCGAGGCTCGAGTCAAGGAATCCGTAGACCAATGGGGTGAGTGTTTTGGCATGTGTTTGCTTTATCGATCTTTCAAAAGGGTCCGCTGCATATCCTCAGTTATTGGCTTACTTCAAAACGCACAAACTGTTTGGGGTCCACGCTGGCATATACAGTAGTTATACTTGTTCTATTCCTTGTTCTGCACAGTTGGTCAACGTTGTGAAAATTTCATCCATTGTCTGGAAGAGTCTGGCCATGCACCCAAAGAAAGTGGTGGATGTCTATCGGTGATCAGCCGGAGTGGGAAGGGTTGGGCCCCTTGGTCCTTCACAAGTGACGTGAACCAAGGCTGCCACTTGGAGCGAGGCAAATGACCATCGAGCTCTTTGAAGAGCGTGGGCACCTCCAGCTGTGTTGGGTATATGAAAGCATGCGGCACCTCGCTGAGAAAGGCATGGTTATGCATGGTTCATGGTGAAAAACATGTGGAAACGAAACTGTCTGGACACCTTGTAAAAAGTGACCACCATGGTGGCTGGTGGTGGACTGGAGAACTCTGGCACATCGGCCAGAGGACTCCTGTCGCCTAAGATGTCAAGCTGTCAATTTGGACTCCTCTGCCACGATGGTCTCCAGGACACCGACAGGGATCAAAAGACAAACCTGCTACACTCTGACGAACACATCACATGGAAGTGGATGGGATGGTCCCGAAAGGAAGACTACTTTCCTTTACGCACGGGGGGTGCCATCCACTTTCATGTGAGGTGTTCGTCGGAGTGCACACTCCGTGGAATAGTCCCCGTGGCGTGGATGGCAGGGCTCCTTGACTTGGATGACCAATGTTCCGAATACCAAACCCCAAACACTCATGTATTGCATATTTACCTATACATTGGGGTGGTTTGGGGGGTCAATGTAGGCATATATGGCAATATATGGCATACATTGATGGAGCGTCTGGGAACAAGTGCCCAAACTCTTTGGCCTGGTGTGGCCGCGGCCGCTTGGAAAATGGATGGTTCGAAACTGAATTCAGGGAGACGAGGTCTTGGCTGTCTTTCCCTATCAAAACAAAGGCCAACCGGGTGGTAGGCATATTATATATACATATATATCATCTGACATGTGTGAGTCTGGAAGGGGCTTCAGCAAATGAGTGGCCAAAAGTAACAGCAAAAAGGTTCATGTCATAGCCCGAGGCTTGGCATTGTTTTTCAGTAAGACCAACGGATGCCCAAATCGTGCAAAAACTGTTTAAATGCAAGCTAACACGCACACCACATCACAAACATCTGCCCATCTACCAACCACCAAGGTCCTAATGCGCAACCCCCAAGCTGCACCTCTCTCCCCGCCTCCCCTCCTCAACCCCCTCCTTCGATCCCTCCGCGCCTCGCGCGCGGCCATCAAGGCAGGGCCCGGGTTCTTGGCAACCGCCTCCGCGGGCGTCTCCTGGATGTCCAGGTTCACCTGGGCCGTCTCCCGGTCGGTCCGTCTCCCCGCGGGTGTAGCGGAGCAAAGGGGCGGGAGCAGGGTCAGCGGGTTCAGGCGACAGGCGATGGGAGTGTTTTGCTTGGAGAGGCACC